ACTAAAGCACTTTATATTCCCCCAAGCATGGGGAGGTCATTGCTGTTGGAAGGAAAGGTCCCCTGTACTGCTGGTAAACACTCAGGTTGTGTGTGGGGTGCAGCAGGACAGAGAATCAGAAATTCTATCTCAGTTCTGCAGATGTTCTGTAAAATACCAAAAAGCCTCTCCAGCAAGGCTATCCACTCACCACCTCATGTGGTAGTCTTTTCCCAAATGTTTGCTGCAACCTGCAGACATCCACAGACCATCCAGAGGCTCCACAGAGCTTGGAGGACATGGGAGGCTTCATAAGAGATTAACACACCTCACACTGACTCTGGTTAAATCCTAATTTAACAGGATGGGAGCATCTCTCTATGCAGTGCTAGCCCTAGAATTCCAAACACTCCTCTGAGGCAGAAAGCCCCCATTTTAATTTGGGCATACAACTGAAAAATAGGGCCACCCTGTAAAACATGGTCTCTTGAAAAGCGTCATTTTATACTCAAGGATCCTCTGCCAGGATAAGCAGGTAGCAAAACCCAGTGAGGGAGGGAGAGCAGACCAGGACAGAGCATCCTTGGGTGGTGTGAGCCAGAGCCTGACCGGGATGAGGCAGTTCTGGTGCATCCCAGACTGACAGGGGTTGTCTCCATGCCTGTCTCCCCACAGGTGTGAGAAGCTGGCAGAGGAGTGCCAAGACAACCCGTGCCGCAACGCCGGGCGCTGCGTCAGCAGCCGGGGCTCCGTGCACTGCATCTGCCCGCCGGATTACCAGGGGGCCTACTGCACCCAGCCCATCATCACCCCCGCCATCGTGCCCACGCAGTGGGCGCTGGGCCCCGAGGAGATGGCGGAGATCGCGGCGGGCGTGCTGGGGGCCGCCATCCTGGCCGCGGCCTTCGTGCTCGTCCGCAAGCGCTGCCGCCAGCGCGCCAAGGCGCACAAGCCAGTGGCCCGCGAGGACCCCGACCTGCTCTCCAAGAGCGAGTTCTCCAAGAGCGTGGGCGTGGGCACCCAGCCCGTGCCCCCCATCGAGCTCAACATCCTCAGCGACGCGACGCACAACAACCTGGACCGGGCCACGCCGGAGCAGCGCAAAGCCACCGGCACCCCCGAATTCGTCACCTTCAACTCGGCCAACGCCCCGAAGCACCGGGGCACCATCGTGTGCAGCGTGGCCCCCAACCTGCCCCCCGTTGCACCCCCGTCCAACTCTGACAACGAGTCCTTCATCAAGTGCACCTGGGCCAGGGAGGAGATGGGTCAGTAGCCACAGCTTTTTCTTGCTCTTACCATCCCTCTTTCCCTTGAGAAGTGGATCTGAGGTTTGCAAACATGAGGGACAAATGGTGTTGGATAAAGCAAAGCAAAGTCAGGGCAAATGCTTCCCCAGCCCTGCTATAGGGCCTTCATTGGCTCTTTCCTCCTGTTTCACCACTATATCCCAGTTTTCTGCTTTAACCTGCTTGGTTTTGTACACAATCAGCAGGGAAACCATTAGTGCACAGCAGGCTGTGATCCTGGGTCAAAAAGCTTGTAAAGGAGAAAAATTGGAAAAAAAAATTAAGATCCTAAAAGTCAGTAGGAGTTTCAGTGAAGACATTTGCATCAGTGCTCCTCGGCAGAGGGATCACATTTTCAGGGAAACACCTTGAATGGCTCTGGACAACAAGGTACCCCATGTAGGAGTTCCTCACAAGAGTAACTGCAGGGAAAGTGAGAGATCCAGGGCATCACTGCCCCAGTCCCTTCATAACATGAGTTTCTGGCATCCAAACATAATGATGAAGCGTTTCTTTTGGGTGCTGGAGTAGTGGCTATCTGTAGGCTGGAGGGGACACTGCATCAGCACAGCCAGGGGTGATCTCAGGTCCCCACAATTCCCAAATTAGCAGCTACACCTCCCCTATCCCTACATCTCCTCTCCTTCCCAGTCTGCCACATCTCCAACAGGCTCAGCGCCTGCAGAGGGAAGTGGCAGGAGGGCAAGAGAGAGGCAACAACTAGAGCTGCATCTAACATGACTTTCTTTTGTTCCAGTCTACCCAGCAGAAACCACCTACTGGCCCCCGCGGTACCTGTCGTCGGACGTCCAGGAATATTCGCACTACGAGATCATCCAAGGCCCCCCTGCCTCCTCCTCTCACCCTCCTCTCCCGCCGCCGCCCCCTCCCCCAGCAGACACGGAGCCGGTCGCTCTCTATGGGGGCTTCCCCTTCCCGCTGGACCAGAGCAACAAGCGAGCCCCCATCCCACCCCGCTACAGCAACCAGAACCTGGAGGACTTCCTGCCGCTGGGCCCCGTGGACATGGGGGCATCCCAGTGCCAGAACGAGTACACGGCCATCAGCTACTACCCAGCGCAGCTGGTGCAGGGCGAGGGGGTCCCGTACCAGCCCGAGCCGGGCTACAAGAGGGTCAGCATGCGCCTGAGCGTGGCCCAGCCCTCCTACGCCGACTGCGAGCTGGGCCACCAGCCCAGCATCCGAGCCCAGCCCCTGCCACTGCCCAACTACGAGGGCTCCGACATGGTGGAGAGTGACTACGGGAGCTGCGAGGAGGTGATGTTCTAGCGGGGCTTGCTCCTGGGGTGAGGAGAGAAGCACATTGCCACGCAGAACAGAGTGCAGGGGCCTGGCGCACGCTGCTGAAGGGAGGCTTGTGTGCGTCTCCCTCAGCTTGCAGCGTGGCTGGGTTGTAATTTTGGCTGGATGTTTCCCCTCGCTGCCCTCCACGGTGCTCCTGCTGCAAATGGAGGGGAAATGCTCCAGCCACTGCTGGGAGATGGAGGGTGCTCCTGGGATGTCAGTGACTAAGCTGCCTCCTCACCAAGGGGACTGCCTCCAACACCTTGTAGGACCACAGCATGCTACCTCCTCCTACCAGGCTTCCCGGCCACAGGGAGGATGAGGAGGAGGAGAGCAAGCACTGCAGGTATGGCAGCAGTCATGGTGGAGAAAGGTGTGAAAGGATTCCAGTGCACAGCCTGGCAGTGCCCCGTGTGGGGTACAGAGGCTCCCTGCTCCCAGCTCTGCCTCCAAGGGCTTGCATCAAGCCAACAGTTTGTTCATGGAATGGTTAAGGGTGCAAAACCTCTTCATGCCTGCTCCCTGACACTGGGAGAGAGAAGAGGGAATGCAGCTGGTCCCACCAGCACATCCCTGACTGGCTAACAGAAGTCCAAGTGGGAAAAAAAAAAAAGAGAAAGAAAAAAAAAAGTCAATTTCTGTAGAAAAACCAAGCAACGAGGTTTGTTACAGCAGGAATCGCCCACAGACTCAAACCAGGCTGCCCAGCTGGGCTGTGTGCACACGAGTAAGGGGCACCCTGCCCGAGGATTGTGTGCACAGCCTTGTCCCCGTGGCTGTCACAGTCCCACACTGAGTGCAGCTGTACGCCTGTGCTGTATCCCAGAAGGACTGGCCAGCACTGCCTGGAATCTCTGACCAGAGAGGGGCACTGAGCATGGGTTTGCCTGTTTGTCCTTGTGCTTGGACATGTATCGTTTCTTCGTGAGAGGTTTGCTTTGGTTGGTTGTTTTGTTTGATGTAACTTTTTTTGTTGTTGAATTTTTTGAAAGTATTAAAAGAGTTTGGATTTTTTTACTATTATGATTTTATTCAGTATCTTAGAGATTCTCATATAAATAAATAGGACGTCCTTGCCTAGATTCAGCCAAGGGAATAACAGCTTCGTTTGAGCACCAAAAGCGTTCAGATAAGTACCAAGACAGCAAGTTAAACACTTTTTTTGAGGATCCTGTAAGTGCCAGAGGGATGAGGCAGATAGACCCACGTACCCTGTCTTACTTTGAGAAACCATAAGCCTCCTGTATCTCTTAGCTCAGGAGTAAAGGGGTTGAAAGGACCCAAATTGAAGCCTTTGATTTGCATCCCCAACAAACACCACTTGTTTTACCTCTCAAAGCTGTCATGCACTTCCACAGAACCACCAGCTCTGCTCATCAGAAAGCAGTCCCTGCCTAGATTAGACCTATTTTATCTAGTTGGTTTTATTCTGCTTGGTAAATCCTTCTGAACATCATCCTAAAATAGTGCATTTCTGTACTTTGAGGACATTTAATTTTGAGGTGTCTCAGCAACAGGCACCACTTTTGCCCATAAGGAAAGCACAAATTGTTCTTCCTAGAAGCAACACAAATAACAGTGATATTTTCCTTCAGGCTTTTTAAATCCCCAGGGTTGCTTTGGCCAGTGGTCACAACACAGGGATGGGCAAAGACAACTTGAGATGAAGCTCCTCTAAGACCTGGGAAGGAGCAGCCTCAGTAAAGCCATTTCATGGGATGGAGACAGCCCTAAGAAGGGATGGCTGTGGATCCCACCATGGTGACACTCCAGAGTCAGGAATACCCTGTGCCTGTGCTCAGCTGTCCCTCCTGCCCTGTCATTCAGGTGACCTCAGATCCACAGTCCTCACCAGCCTGCAAAAGCCTCCCAGTTTAAGAAAAAAAATCTGCCAGAGTTTCTAAAGATGAACTTTTTATAGCACTGATTTCCCAACAGCCCTGTAATGACACACTGCAATGGCATGAATTATTCAGCAATGAGGATAAGCTGAGCTGCAGCAGTGCTGGCAGCCTCCCAGTGTGGGCTGACTTTTGCTCCTTTGATCTCTAGGGTGGATCTGCAGCCGCTCAGCATCCCCCATCTTTTTTCACATGCCAGGCTCTTTTTTTTTTCAGCTGCAGCCCCACTTTTGACATAAACAGGGAGATGAGAAACCAAGGCCTTAGCTTTGGTGAGACAGAGAAAAACCCAGCCCTACAAGCCCATAAGCTCTGCCTACAACCTACTTGCACAAATGAGGTCAAAAGAAAAATTAAATTTTCCAAGCAGCAAAGCTGGAACACTTATTTGAAACACTCACTAGGAGGGGAAATCCTGTATGCTGTGTGGGGATGGGAGCAGCACAGGATGGGATCCTGGCTGCCTGCTGGGCTCCACATCACCTGCTCTCACTTCTTTTGGAACTAAAATCCACACTTCACACTCTTTACACATAAAAAATAGATTATATTTATTGATTAAAGTAAGATACATGATTGAGGTGCAGCACCAGCTCTCCCACTGGGCAGGCACCTGTGCTGTACACTGACAATATCCATAGGCACGAGACATGGACGTGACCATTGCTATATTTACACAGACAAGATCCTTGGTTACTGAGCAGCCTACAATACACAAATGTCAAGTTTTCGTGTCCATCGGGTCCTGCACCAGCTCCCCCTGACTCAGCAGAGCCCCTCACACCACACGTGTCACCAGCACAAGTTGCTTCAAACACCCCTGCTCACCCCAGTGAAAGGGAAGAGCTGCAAAACCCATTTAATGCTTCTGTGATATCCCAGCCCCCTTGAAATGAGGTCTTCACTGCTGCTTGCAAAGTGAGTTTGGATGCCAGAGCCTCATCAGCAAACCCACTGATGCCCAGTGCCAGGCTGGGGACATGCCCTGGCACACAGCTGCCCCTAAAATGTGGCCCGCTTTCTTCAAGTGCACTACTAGCAGGGAAAGGGTAATCACCACATCCCCTGCTCCTCACAGCACTCCCTCCTCTGCTCGACAGTTCTGACTCAAATCGAACCCCAGGGGCCATGCTGGGGTCAGTACACATGAATATTGCACTTGAACCGCCTGTGTCATGTCCTGGAGCCCCTCCCCAGCCCTGGATGCTTCCCCTCTATCCCCATGGTGCCCTCCAGAGGGAGGATTTGAGTTAAAGCTTTGCTCTGCTCCTGACCAAGCGATGCTGGTCATGCCAAAACCTTGCCCAGCACAGCCTTGGACGAGATGAGGTGAGCCCCAAGAGAGGCACAGAGCAGAAGAGGGGCTGGAAAGGGGCAGGGACATGGCACAAACCCACCCCACACCTGGCCATGGGTCCACGTACCGGCATGTGGCAGCCAGGACTGCCAGCAAAGGGGCACAGTGCAGACACCAGCAGCACCCAGGGAGAGGCAGGCTGCAGGGACACTGCTGCACACAGCCTTCTCCTCACAGAACCCGGCCAAACACCGAAAATAACCACACACCTCACCCTCCACCAAAGATGGCAACACAGCCCACTGCTGCTGTACTCAGCCTCCTTTCCCATCACCAGCAGCCTTTACCCACCTCCAGGGAGACATGGCTGCAGTGGGATGAGGGATGAAGGCTCTCTAGAGAGACCTGGCATTTGGGAGATGCTGTGTTAGCAGGCAAGAGTTCAACCTGTCCTGTGGAGGATGCATTTGCTCCCTTGTATTAAAAAAGTAGAATCCAGCAGAAAGGCAAGGAAAATCTCTAGGGAGGAAGCTGGGCTCTCAGAGAAAGGAAAGCAGCAGCACCACAGGACCATCCCCACCAGGCACAACATGCACCAGCCACAACAAAAGAAGCAACAGGAGCACAGGGAGGAGTGCCAGGGAGCTGCATCCTACAGGAGGAGAGGAGCTGGGCAAAAGCAGAGGATGCAGAGGGAGTAAAACAAGGAGAGGAGGGGTTAAAACCAGAAATATTATGGAGTTTTTGTGTGCGATTTGACATTCACTATCAGCCTGCAGATGCAGGCGGAGCGTGCCAGGGCCAGCTCAGGCACTGTAAACAAGATGATGTATTCTTGTGGTGTGTGGGCAGCACGTGGTGACCCCTGGGGACACCCCACGCCACCCAAAGGGGACCAGCTCAGCCCCTTGTTATGGCAGAGCCTGTTTGTTCCCCACACACCTCGGTTCTGTAAAGCTTCTGAAAGCCAAGCATTGGGTTGTGCGCTGGATGGGGATAAAGAAGTGTCACTACTGAAAGTGTGGGCCAGGGTCACAAACGCTCCCAGGCCAGGGAGGTGCCATGCCCAGTGCCCAGCTCCAGGGCCTGCTCAGACTTCCTGCTCAAGGCAGCTGGAAACAGAGCTGAAGCACTGCAGGAGCCAGTGCCCACAGATGGGGACCCCACTGAGAGAGCTATGGGGCCCAGCACGCTCCACACCTCAGGCTCTGCCCACCCTCCCCACAAGGCCAAGGCGAGGAGGGAGCTCCACACTCTCTAACCTGAGCTGAGGTTTGTCTGTTGCTGTAAAAATAAAGTGCTCAGGGGAAAAAAAAAAAAAAAAGTCAAACTGGCACAAAAAAGAATAGTAGTCCCTGTTCCCCGCCCTGACTGAAGGGACAGGGGAAATATGGAAAGGTTGGGATTTTTAAAAATAATAAAATAAAATAAAATAAAATAAAATAAAATCTACATCCCTGGGATTCCTCACCTCCCAAAGTGCCTATTTACAGAGGAACTGTTTTGCTGTACCAGGGAAGGCACTGCCCCAGCCTGGATCCCACCTTCCAGACGGAGCCCAGGGCAGGACCTGCGGCAGCTGGTGGACGCAGTGCTGGGCGGCCCCGTCCCCTCACAGACCAAACCCTCCAGGCTCCCCAAGAGCAGAGGGGAGGCCGTTCCCAGGAGAGCAGTGCCCGTGTCCATGCACCCCCAGCTCAGCACCCAGAGGGGACAGCGGGGTGAAGGGGTGGTCACTGCACCAGGACAGTGGTGGCGTTCACCACGGTGGCCGCGGGTGCCACCAGCTCCACCAGCGCCTCGTAGGTGCCCACCACGAAGCCCACGAAGCCGAAGAGGCTGATGGTGATGTCCTTGGCAATGACGAGGGGGTGCATGCCCTCGGAGTAGTAGGTGGCGATCTCCAGCAGCGGGGGGAAGATGAGAGCCAGGGCGCTGCTGCTGATGGAGCCCACCAGGGAGATGACGAGGTCCAGGCGCGGGATGAGGATGGCCAGCACGCCTGCAGGAAGAACGGACACCGCATCAGTGCTGCCACCTCCCAGATGGCAGAGAGGCTCCTCCCCGTGTCCAAAACCCCACCCAGGGATGCCAATGCTGACTCACACCTCTGCCCTCCTCCCTGACAGAAGACAAGGCTGCACGTTTTTACGGCAACTCCTCCCCAAGAAGCAATTAAGCTGTTAAATTAACAAGCCTTTTTGTCGCCCTGGGCGCCACCAGAGCGAGCTGCAGGGCTGAGCAGGATGGGTGCGCCAGCATTCCCGACCCCCCTGTGCGAGCCAGCACCCCTGCTCCCCACACCTGGGGAGCCAAAAAGCCTCAGAAACCCCATAAAAGCAGGAGAAGGGAAGAAAAAGGCATCTCCCCCCACCCTAAATCAATCCGTGTGGTTTGCGTGTGTTTAGAGCTGCTCCAGCAGCAGCACGCCCACGGCACAGCCCGGGGGAGAACATTTGTTAGGTGAAAACTGCAGCCAAGGAAAATCCCCCTGGGAGACTCCTGACAGCTTGAGCTTAGCAGTGTGAGCTTCGGGATATTCCTGCATGGCACCAGGAGGGGACAGAGGGATGTCACCAGAGCTCTGCACAACACAAGAGAACCCTCTGCAAGCACAGCAGACTTCAGTGCTTAACCAGTGACCTAGAGAAATAAATTGGTTTATTGCTTTGAAAGCTTTTCTGCTTAGAAACAGGAGACACCCAGAGCCACGGCAGGTGCAGCCCCTGTGGAGAAGGGACAGCTCAGGGCTCCTCACTGGGGGGATTTTTTCTTTCCCTGGTCATCAGCTACAGGCAAGAGAGGCTGTTGGAGCCTCCCTAAGCCAAAGATCACCCATGAAACTGCAGAAGGAGGAAATTTTGGGAGACTGACTGTGCTAACACTGCATCACTGCTGTCATCTGGGTAAGCCTAGAGATAAACCATCCCTTCACCAAGGGAAACAGCAACAAAGGTCCTGAGCCAGTTTATCCTGGTGCTCAGCCTTGAACAGAGCCAAAGGAATGCCCTGCTAGGTGACTGCTGCAAGCAGCATCCCTGCTCCAGCAGGCTCTGAGGAGAGCAGAGCAGCTCCCCTCCAAGAGCATCCTCAGCCCACCCCACACTGCTTTTGGACTCAAAAGTAAACAAAATTATTAACTCCCCTCTAAAACAAGCAGATTTGAAGCACCAGCTGCAGTCTCCAGCCTCCGGGGAAACGGTCTGATTTCTGCAGGTATTAATTCAAAGGGGTTTTAAGCATACTGGTTTTGAAGTTTGAGCTTGAAAGACACCCATACACCAGACTGCATCCTCTCTTTGGGAGCCAAAGCCCGGGTGGGGGCTTGTTGTTCGGCCACACAATGATCCAATGAATATTCATGCAACCCCCCTAATGCTTTTATCCTCAGCAGGAGCCACGGAGATCCCTTACATGGAAGGGTGAGGGGAGGAGGTATAAAGGAACCTGCATCCTTCCACGAACACCTCTGCTGCCTCCCTACCCCTACATAGGAGGGTACAGGTGATGCCTAAAGCCATCCCATCTCCCCAAGCCTTCACTTCCACAGCTTGGCACAGTCCAACACCCTCCAGGAGAGGCTCCAACCCCACAAGCAAGTTCCAAGTTCACCCACAGCACAAGGGTGGCCAGTGCATATCACCCAACAAGGCAGGATTTCATCCCTGCACCCTCTGAGGACATCAAGGCTTCAGGAACTCAGCACAGAGACAGGCCTTGCCCACCTCTGTTGATGCAGCGCTTCTGGCCTTTCACTAGTGAGGCACAAACAGCAGCACCACCACCCCTGAGTTAGCTCCATGCTCCTCTCAAACCCAAACCAAAGGCAGCTGGGAGGCAGGGCCAGGTCCCTGATGCTCAGCTCTGGTGCATCAGCAGCATCAAGCCATGGAGCAAAGCTCCATTTCAGCAGGGGACGCCAGGGAGCTCAGCCAAGCATCTCAGCTGTGCTGACTACAGCAAGCATTTCGTCTTCAGGAATCAAAGCCAGCCAAAATCAGATACTGCCTGATTCGCTCCACACCTTTCCCAAAGGTCCACCAGGCTTGAGCCAGGAGCCTGTTCCAGCAAAATCTCACTCACAGCATGAAGGGAAGGGACCCCGTGGGGCTGCTCCAGGCACACCTGCCCAGCAGCAGACTCTACACTGCAGCACACCAGAGCTCTGGTTATGGGTCACCTACCCCTGTCAGCTGTCACCTGCTGTGCTCTGTGCTGCAATGAGTGTGTGGCACAAGAACAGCCCATCCCTCACACTCAGTGACTCCTCTGCAGTTGTGTCCCCATCACACAGGCACGAGGAGCCTGGCTGCACACTGCCTACAGAAAACAGCCTCCAGGGAGGCTGCCCTGGCACTGAACCCTGTGCTGGGTGTTTCATGCAAACCCTGGTGGGACTCAGTGTCCCACAGACTGCCATCCCCAGGCTGAGGCTCCATGGGGGTCTGCCACTTCTAAACAATGCAGTTTACTACTCCTCCACTGAGAAGACTGGTCCCATACAGAGCAGGCAAAGGACCACTGCTGCTGCTCCTTGGAGGCCATTTGACACACTGGTTTGTATTAGCCAGGCCCAGGACTACCAGCTGTGAGGGCTTGACCAGCAGGGCCAGAGGTGCTGGGGCGAGGGGTGAAGGCTCAGTGGGAAGGAGGTGCCACAGCACTGTAGGGAAAGTCAGACAAGGAGGTTTGTACTCACAGGTCACACAGACCAGGGCCACCCTGAGGAGCAGGTTGACCAGCCAGCCCCAGCGCTCCGACACCCGGGCCACCAGGGGAGGGATGATGATCTCGGCAGGCACGTAGAACTGCACGGCGTAGGTGAAGAAAATCCCGAAGGAGAAGAGCAGCTTGACAGCTTGGTACAGCCTGCAGAGGACAAGGACACAGTGAGACAGGCTCTTGCTCCAGCCCCTGCAACATCAACAGCAGAAAACAGAAGGGGAATGCTCTGCAAGGACTTTTGTGAGCTGGAGGTCTCAATGCCTGAACACTCTTAGAAAATTAGGGGTGATGCATTTAATTCAGAGACCTTCACTGAGCAAGAGACAGCAAAGACATGTATCAGCTGCAGCCATGATTCCAGCTACTGCTTGGCTTCTGAGGAGAGGGAAGAGGACAGCACTGCTGGGATAACTCTGGGCTTCCACACAGAGTGAATATTACAATGTTCAAAAGCAAAGAGAACAGGCAACTCAGGCTCCTCCATCAAAGAGAAAAGAGCAGCTATTTTTGGAGTGCTGCATGATACATGTTTGGGGGGAAGAGAGTTAAAGAGCAGTTTGAGCTGAGCAGAAGGAAGGCAGAGTGCAGACAGGCTGTAAACAGCATTTTGGGCTCACCCCAATCAAAGCCCACAATGGCCCAGCTCCTGCAGTGATACAGTTTGGCTGCAGCAGAGAGCCCACCACAAGTGACCAAAAGGCACCTCCCACCCCATCTCTGCCCTCAGCTTCCCAGCAGCAGAAAAAGCCTCTCCAAAGGAGAAGTAACATCTGGTTACCTCTCATATGGTCCTAACCCTTCCCCAGCTCAAGACACACTAACCAAGCAGGAAACATGGCTCAGGGAGAGGTCCTGCTGCCTTGGGAGAAGAATTATATCCACCTTCAAGAAGGATGAGGGAAGGCACAGGCTAATCAGCCTCACCTCAATCCCCAGAAGAATATGGGTTAAGTCCTCCTGGTATCTATGTCCAGGCACATACTGGACAGTAAACAGACAGCAGGGATTTGCCAATAGGTAATCATGGAAATATCCTCAGCAGTGACCTGGATGAGCTTTCAGTGACCCAGAGCACATTCTCATCAAATTCCAAGCAAGATCAAATTGGAGGAAATGGCTGACACAGCTTGGAGCAACAACATGATGTCACAAGGAAAGCTCAAGTGCAAACACAAATTCCCACACATGTGAAGGGCTGGGGCCAGGAGAACAGGACCTCGGGGTCTTGGTGGGCAGCAGACTCAACATGAGCCAGTAGCAGGACCCTGCAGTGACAAAGGACAATCACAAAGCAGGCTGTGTTAGCAAAAGCACAGCCAGGAGGTTAAGGACAAGGATCAAGGATTATTTTCTTGTTTGGGGCTTGTGCATCTTGAGTATTTTGTCCAGCCCTAATACTCCCAGGACAGGAGACTGACTTACTCTGCAGAGCAAGTTGAGTGCAGGCTACTAAGATGGTTGGGGCTGGAGCATGGTGTACAAAAAAGAGGCTGCATTCAGCATGATGAGAAAGTTAAAAAGGGATGTTAATAATGTCTTCAGCTGCCTAATAGGAGGGTATGGAGGAGAGAGTAACAGCTCTTCTTGGAGTTGCACAGAAGAACCAGGTGCAATGGGACAGAGCTGCATCTCCAAAGGATGGTGAAGGGCCAGAAGAAGGGCCTGGATTGGTAGGGAACCACTGTGCTTACTGATACTCAGCTTAAGCTGGCCCTTCTGTGAGCACATGAGAGGACCCAGTGATCCCATGGTGTCCTCTCCAGCCTGAATTACCCCGAGGTTCCAGAGGCAAACTGAACATAAATTATCTCCAGAGTCCAGAGTGCGCCCGTGCAGCCACACGTGTGCACAGGAGCCTTGAGCCACCGACCCATGGCTTGTATATCTTATCACTGCATTCCCAAGAAAGGGATCCCATAAAAGCCATAAAGTGCTCCAGGGCAATCCAAGATTAATAGTTGTTATTAAAAAAAGTACAGCAGAAGGCTGTGTACCTGTCCTGCTCAGGTCAGGAACCATGACAACAAGATCAAAGGGCATTTTAAATACCAAGAAGAGGAAGAATTCAAGCATTAGCCTAGATCCACAGAAAACACAGGCCCATGCAGGGCCTTGGAGAGGCACTCTGCCAACCACAGCAACGCCTGCTTCAGCCAGATTGCTCTGCCAAGCCATCCCAAAAGGCTGCAAGAAGTGAAATACTCTCCTGGGACCATAAGCGCTGTCATTACCTTCAACTGGCCACACACAACCCAACAGCTTCCCCTCATCACAGCATTTCTTCACCCTTCACACAGTGCAGTGAGGCAACCTTTCCTAGGAGGCAAGGAGGGATTTCTGCACAGCAGCACCATATTTTGGACACTGTGGTTAGACCTGGGCACTGGGAACTGACACACTCCTCGTTTGAGGAAGCTGTGGTTTCAGAGAAACGAGACTGGAGAAGTCCTTAGTCACCCTGTAACTCAACGATTCCTGAACCGCTCACCAAATCTGCTCCAGAGACCTCCAGGCAATGGCTACAGCTAAGGAAGGCTGCAGCACCTCCACCACAACCTTTGCCTTGCCTCCCAGGCTGCAGGCAAACCCCGTGGCTTCTCACCCACAGCCCTTGTGACCAGCTCCTACAGCCCAGCCTTTTACTGCTAGGAAGAAAACCACGGGCGAGGCAGGATGGGAAAGACTTTCATTTTAAGAGAAGTCTTCACCCAACACCTGTGGTTTAATCCACAGGAGTGATAGTGAAGCCTTTATCTCAACCATCACAGCCCTTACTTGAGATAACCCATTTCCAAGTCCAACAACCACTGCCAAGAGGCAACATGCATGAACATCGAGGTGCCCTGCATGTCAAGTGACAAGGACCACAACACACCTTCCTTGCAGCTGGCCTGCCACGTGCCCAGGCTTCCCCAAACACTGCTTCCAAAGGGCTACTCTCTTCTCACTACCCAAAACCCTATGGCTACTTATAGAAAAGTAACTTTAGAATACTTCACTTTCAGAAAAGTAGCTTACTTTTACAAAAGACAGAAGGTGTGGATACTTTAGAAACATGGATTTGCACTCTTCTCTCTGTAGCTTAGCAGGTCATAATAATCCCATTCTAAGGACCTGTTCTAAGGGAGTATCATTCTTCAGGGCAAACAGAGCTGAGATTCCCTGCAGAAGCTCCTTTACAGCATTTCAGGTCAGCAGATATCATTGCAGGCTGTGGCATGCAGAGCCCAAACCTGGAAATTACCTGCTTTCCACCTTAAGGAGAAATAGCATCACACCCCCTCTACATTGTACTTCAGTTCACTGAGCAGAGAGATTCAACCTCCTGTGTTGGCATGGTGGGATTCAGACCTTCTACCACACAGGCACATCCTTCCCCCAGCCCCATCCCTCCTCACTGAGAGCAGGGACCTGGCAGAGCTCCCAGCACCTGCAGGGGACAAGAAAAGGCTCTTGGCAGGAGCAGGATCTGCTACCACACCAACACCAACATCCAGCAGTGCAGTCACTACACAGACCCAGCATGAACGAACATCCATGCACTCAAACTGAAAAGAAACCCACACAGCAATAGTTAAAGCAAAACCAGGCTCTATTTTTGTCAAATCTTTGCTGTCTCCAGAGCCCCAGCTGTGCTGCTCTACAAGAACAAGAGCTGCACCTACCCAGGCAGGGACCACCAGGGACCCTGATGAAGCAGCCTGAGTTCCAAGACACTACAGCAAGAGCTCAGACACCACAGCAACAAGCCTCTTCCAGCACACACATCTGACAATCCTTGCCAAACTCCTTGAAGTTTGCCTATGACATAGTTCCTCAAGCTTCCTCAAGCTCACCCAGATTAGTTCCCATAAGGAGTGAGGTCACCCTCTCCCACCTGCCTATCTGGGCCTCTCATTGCACACCCCCTAGTCCTTCCAGTGCCCACAGGGACTCACCAGCAGTTGGGCAGGTTGAGTGTGATGCTGGCCTGGATGTCTGTCCCAAAGCGCAGGTAGCCCAGGACACTCAGGCTGATGTACAGGATGGTGACAATGGTCATCCCCACGTAGAGGATGACTGGGAACTGACGGGGGTTCTTCATCTTGTTTTCCAGAGGCAGCACCTGAGAGAAGAGGAGGAGGAAGATGACAGAGCAGCAGGTTGCCCATTCCTCTATACCCCGAGCAGCAAAAAGCAGGAGGGGCAGCCCCATGGTCAAACACAGCCCACCACACCAGGGGATGGGATAGTCCCACATGGAGCCTGGAGAATCCAGCTGAGAAAAAAACTATACTGGAGATCTGATTTCTGTGCTCCCCCTGGAGCATAGCAACTCTCCAACAGATCATTCACACCCTTGTCTTAAAGACAGGACCTGCTCCCTGCCCTTGGCAGGAGCTGTGCCCAGATGTGCTGGGTCTTGGGGCAATGCCAACCACCCCATACTTTGGGTGCATTACGCTCTGCACCCCAAAACAGCACAGCCATGCCCACAATTTTACACCATCCTATCTTCCCCAGCAAATTCTGGAAAGACCAAGACACTCTCCTCTGCTATCAAGTTTGTCTGGACAGATTTCAACCAGGCAGGACAATAAAAAGAGCAAGAAGAAGTAATTCTCCCACCTCTATACTACTGACACTAAATGTAGGCCTTCAGCAAACAATTTTATAGCTGTCCTTGGGAGTTGTTGATTTCGAGAGACAATGGCAGATCTGGTGAGGAGGCAGGACAAGAAAAACTTTTATTTGCTTCTTCACCTCCAAGTCATGCAAGGAAGAGAGCATTTGTGCCTCAGTGCTGGCAAGAACCCTCTGCCCAGGGCATAGCATTCAGCAAGCACTGCTCCTGTAATGGATCTGGCCCTCTCCAGCCCTGTGTTTACACAGCCAGCTTATATTAAGAGATGAAAACATTTTTTCCTCCTTTGAAGGGAGCTCCCGGAAACAACCCACAACATCTTAGGGAGTAATTAAGCTCTCCACCCACCCACCCAGCTTTTTTCACAGACACAGTTGTCTATTTACAGCATCTTGCATGAGAGGCCCATTTGCATGGGCAGGCTGGGGCCATGCAGCTGCCAAAGGGAGACCTCGGTGCCCCCGCAGCAGGGTGGGAAGGGAAGGATCACAGCTTTTAATGCCACGCTTTTTGGCCTCCCATTTAGGCAACTTCAGGATCCAGCCTGGTAACAAGACTCAGGACAATTCCTCATCTGCAGGTCAGCCAGCAGAGCCCAAGGCAGAGGTTGGTGTGATTCCCAATCTACTGCCAGATAAAGCCACCTCTAAAGCAGCAACCACCCTCCTGAGGTTCGGAGCATGTGCTCCTCCAGCCTCAGATGGAAGCACCAGAGTTTGACCCAGGAGATAGCCTGGAGCTAAAGCTAACAGCATCATCCAGAATTTGGGCTATTGTCAGAGAAGTTCAGCTGCAACTGCAGCTGCAAAGCAGAGCAGATGCCGCAGCAAGTCCGAGCAGGGCTGAGCCTCCTGTGCAGCAGCCCCACTGCCACATGCCCAGACTTACCACGCCAATGCCTTCAAAAGCAAAGATTGCAGTGCCAAAGAACAGAGGGTAGGTCTTCCAGGCTGCTGCTAGAGGCAGGTTTCTGGGATCAGGAATATCCTGGAAAAAAGCCCATGCAGAGTTCAGACACGGGGAGGACGGGGAAGACCTGGCGTGTTCCCATCACTCCTGTCACAGCCCCATGCTGCAGGGAAAGCCCTGCAGAGCAGAGGGAACCATCATGCCTACAGGAACAAGCAGTACCCTACAGCATCCAAATACCCCATTGCCAAGCTCCCTCCACCTGCCAAAACTGGGACAGCACAGAAATGAGAGAGGGGAGCCATACACACGTACCCTGACGATGTACTGGTAGATCACTACAAGACTGACAAGCATGGCCACATTGGCCAGCATGGAGAAGATGGACAGGACCTTGAGGTTCTGGATAAACGTGAGCAGCACCACAAAAGGCAGGATGGAAAGCATGTACAGGCGGGAGTCCATGGTGGGGGTCATCACCACCGTCCTGTTTGAGCTGCAGTCATTGGTGGTCCCGTTTGCAGCAGACACAACCTGGGGAAGCACAGGAAGCCCTGGTGAACCACATCACACAGGTCTAAAAGCCACAGATCTTAGCAGCCCATCCCAGGTGAGTCAGAGTACCCCAAGAGCACACTTCAAGCACAGCTAGCTGATTAAAAGCAAACCAATACATGTTTTCAGACAGCTCTGAAGCAAATCCCTATTATCTTGCAGGGGGCAGAGGTGGGACTGGCTGTGGCACCTGAACCAGGACAGCAAATCCTGCCCAAGCCCAGGTACCCTGAGCAGGGGGACTCAGCAGCCAGACACACAGAGGGCAGAAAGCACAGGCTGCATGTTTACACTGCCCACGAGGTCAGTTGAGAAGAGAGGAAAAAGGCACTAAGTGCTATTTCCAAAGGTATCCTTTTCCTCTTGTTGCACCGAGTTCTAACCCAAATCCCACAGTCCTTCAGTTACCCAGCGCCCCGTTCACATGCAAGGACATCTGGAAACTACTGCTGGCTCCCAGGTTCACTTTCTTCATGACAAACCATTCTTTCCTTGGGGTCTTTCATTCCAATGGCACTCCAGGCCTTTTGCTCACTTCTAGAGGTAGCTCAGGCCCAGCAACCAGGTGGCTGAGGCATTCCTCACAAGAGCATGGGCTCACTGAATCACCAATACAACCATGACCAAGCTGGCTCAGGTACCAGGTCCTGTCCAGTCCCTGAAGCAAAGAGCAGTCTCCAAACTGATTCAACCTACTCCAGAGCAAGTCTTGCCCCAGAGGAGAGACTGAAGAACTCTGTGTAAACCAGTATCCTCTGTGGAAGAGGGCAGTACAGGGCCACACATCCATGGGACAGCGCTGCTCAAGCCCCAGCCTGCCTTGCCTCTTCATGGCTTGCTCCAAAGCTGTTTTCCAAACCAAAGCCCTGCCCAACACAGTGGCACCTCGCCCAAGGTACCACCTGCACCATGACTCTCCACCGAACATGCTATTCCTCACCACAAAAAGAAACAAGCAACACTCACCTCTCCCCACCCAAAAAAATTCCAAAGCCAAGGGGTTTCCCACCTGTGACCAAAAAGCTGGTGTGGATTTGCAGGTTTTTGCAAATTTCCCCTGAGGCTTGAGACAGCCTTCAGTCTTTGCTGTGAGGGGCTGAGGAGAAAGAAGCCCACCTTGAAGTGGGGCAGGGGCCAGCAGCAGCCTGGCCCCTGTACACACCCTGGTCCCCTCCTGCTCTCAGGGCTGGTGGGTCACCAGTGTTGACCCATTGACTCCTCCTGCCAGCTCACACTGGGAATCTCCTCAGCTGCTGCTCCAGGAACAGAGGAAGAGTCTCACCCTCCCTTGCTCCCCAGGAGCCCCCTCTGAAGTTGATGGCCACCACTGAAGAGCTGATGAAGGACACAGCCATGGTGGCAGTGACCAGACCACTGCTGCAAGAGCACAGCAGGAGCACATGGGGACAAAAAGGATGAGCAGTGCTGGAAGGCTGGAAATGGGGACTCTTTATTCCCAGTTTCTTACAGGAGCCAGCCAAGCAGTTCAGGGTTTCTGTTTATTTCCTCCTGAGGCCTGGCAGGAAGAAACTCTTTCTCTAAAGATGTAATTAAGCTTCAGAGCCACAGGATGAGGAAAGAAACTGGAATGCAAACAGATCCAAGGAAGGGAGAAGAGAGGTTCACAGCAGGTCCTGGGACCCACACGTTACCACTGACACAAATAAACCAATTAACTGTGTGGGACAGGATAGAAAATGCACAGTCCCTCTGCTTTCATCCCTTTCTTGTTGTTCCCTCACTAAGGATGGCCCCACTTTTCCTGGGCAACACAGATACCTCCAGCACCTCTGCAAAATCACAAAGATTGTCAGGAAAACCTGCTTTGTTTGAACAGGAAAACCAATCCTCCAAAGTATCTGGGTAGAGGAGTGGACTTTTCAGGGCAGCATATCCTACAGAAACCAGACCTTTGGGGGAAAACAGGGCACAGGACACAGGAGCTAAGAAAAACCCAAGCACCTTCATACCCTCTCACCTCCCCCCGGCTCATGAAGGAGGTGTAAGTCCAACCTGTTTCAGATTGTCTGCCAGAAATACAAAGTACACACAGCAGAAACCCAGCTGAGTGATGATCAGGAAAAGTCCCACTACACGCCTGGAAAGCAAAAGAAGAGCATTTGTCAGCCAGATCAGACAGAAATAAGAGCCCACTTGGGTTGCCTTGGGTGGCACTTGCAGAGCGCAGCAATGCTGCTGTCCCCAAGGTTGGGGTGTACAGATCAGAGCACACCCAGCTCACTTCTCTGTGATCAGCAGAGAGGACCTTCTCTCCACCCAGCCTCACAGGTCTCAGGCTCTCCAGTCTCCCCATCCCACCCCTTCCACAGGGTCAGGACCAGCCTCGGGAGAAAAGTCTCCTTTTTGGGTTGAGCATCTCCAGTCTGCTGCTGAATTGTCAGAGCTGGAGACAACACTCCCTGGACACAGGAATAGGTGAATGCTCCCATCCCCTGATGGGCACTGATCTGTGTGATGCAATGTGGGTCACCCACAGGGCAGGGAGCAGCCACTGGACATGTTCCATGCCTAGCAAGATGGGCCAGCACTGGAAGATCCTATTAATCTCTTTGTTATGCTGTGGATACTTAGCTATCCCACACATTTAGTATAAGTCACATCTGGCTGGGACAATACTGGATCAAAGACCTCAGCGTTACCCTCTGGGGGACACTGAGCACTCAGGGCAGGTGAGCCAAACAGCATTTTATGTCACTTGTGCTTATCTGCTGACACAGCTCAGTGACCAGAGGCTCTTCTGTCCCAACTGCAGCACATGCTCGGCTCAAAGACAAGTCCCTGCCTGGGGCAGGGGAGCAGTACCTTCCCCAGATGGCATGTGTCCTCAGGCAGGCACTGGGAGTTGCCTCCAGCCCGTACATCACAGCACCTCCATAGTCCAGGAACTGCTTCTGGAACCTGTCCAAAGAAGGGAGAAGGATCATCACATCAGCCCTGTCTGCTAGTTCCCAAGGCAAATAGTGACAAGGAAAACAGTTCCTGTGAAAAAGGAGAGAAGTTCCCAACTGAGGCTTTGGCATGGGCAACTTGCTGCTGAGGGGCTTCAGAAAAACCCCAGGGCTTTGTGGCAAGAGGGAAGAACTGTAGGAGTTGCAGGGCTGAGAAGGGGAGTTGCTCTTACCTGTTGCAGAAATGATGGGCACATTTGACCAGGATGCCCATGCAGTGCACAGCCACAACTCCCATCACCAGCAGGCTCAGAGGACCCAGCTGCAGGGAAGAGAGGGGGAAGGCTGCACTCTGATGGCCAAAGGCAGAGCTGCACCGTGCCTTCTCCTTCCAGACAAAACTCCACGGGCTGAGTGAGTGCAAACACTGCTGGAGGCTGAACCAGAGCTCTGGTGCAGCTCCCAGGAACCAGCCCCCCAGGACTGAATAACCTGACAGAGACACGAGCTTGGCAGGAATGATGCAAAATAAGCACGTTGGGGCAGTCTGGGTGTAGCAAAGCACTTCCAGAATTGTTTTCTAAACTATCTTGCACATCTTAATTATGCAGGTGATGAAGAAGTCATGACCTGGACACAACGTCCTGCCTGACCCCAGCAGAGGAAACCACAGGCCCAGCTCACACCAGGCAGCAACAATGCAGGAGCAGCAGAACAGTTTTGGCAGCAAAACAAAGCCAGAGAGCTTGGGATGCAAACATGTGCAAGTCACCAAACACTGAGAGGTGTCTGGGCAGGGACTCAAGCCCCACCACCCCCACCACTGGCTATGTGAGCTGCCCAGTGCCCCAGAGTCACTCTGCCCCACAAGCTCCAGCACAGCAGGGCTGAGCTGCCTTACCAGGATGCCAGCATTCTTCACAGCCAGAGGCAGCCCCAGCAGCCCCGTCCCAATATTCCCCTTCAGCAGATGGATCAGGGTCTGGTACCACCTAAGGGAGAGCAAATACGGAGGTCACTGTCAGCAAGTGCCCACACCCAGACTATACACTGCTTATCCTGTTAAGGGTGCACAGCAGCTCTGAACTGCTGCAGGGAATGCATATGGAGGTCATGATCCTGTCCCCTGAACCCATCTCAACCAGATGAGAACAAGCTAGGTGGGAAAGCAAAGACTGAACAAACAGATTTTGGATGGGCATTTGTAAAACCAACTTCATGGCAAAACCCAGCATAAGCACAGCCCAGCACCAAGGAGCTGCACAAGGAAGTCTCTGAGTTGAAGGGATCAGTCTCTGTCATGCAAAGACAGCATCCTCTGCACACCTGGGCACAAGGAAGCCCCCAGAACATGGCTGGCTCTGAATCTGGGCATGCTGTTTGCTTGCTAGAGTTCCTCGTCGGATGAAGGTGGAATGGGAAAATATTGGGAGAACCATCAATCACTGCCCACTGCCAGCAAGCCCAGCTTCACCAGAGAGCAAAGAGCTACACTGGGGCGGCTGCTCACTTGTTGCCAGCACCCCACAGATGCAGGACCACAGCTCTGCCCTCATCACCCTCGTGAGAACTCCCCATAAAACCACAGTTCCACCATCCTCTAGCAAAGTCAGCAGGCAGCAGGGAGCCACTTCCTCCGCCCTCCCCAGAGCCAGGCCAGCCCAGGAAAGAGGGAAACATCACTCACGTTGTCCCGTTGGTCTCCCCAAAGCGCTGGTAGGACTCGGGGTGGGCAAAGCCATTCATGCCATCAGGAGGGCTGCCCTCCGGTGTGACATCTGTGGAGCTGTAGTCATTGTAGTCCTCGCTGCGGAGGCGCCGGGTGGACATGGTCCCTGTGGGGGCAGCAGCATTAGGGGTGCCCAGCTCAACAGCCCCATTCTCAGGTTTCTTGGGGTCAGCCATTGTGCAGAGACACCAGCTGGTGCTGCCAGAGCAGCAAGGTCTGCTCCAGGGCTTTTATACAGCACATGCTCCCGCCCAAGCAATCACAGAGTTGGCATGTCCTAAGGTCAAAGGTGCATGGCACATTCCCGCTGGCTCTTCCTCCGGGCTCGTGCCCGTGTTTTGGGCACACCCAGACAGAACGGGGTCAGGATCCTGCAGGCAGAGCCTGGATGTGACTCAATCCATGTCAGGCATGGGAGCTGCGTACCCCTGCTCTGAGGGTGGTGAGTGTGACACCACAGGCAGTGCAGTAGGAGGGGACATGCTGGCACTGTGTCCCCTGCTCTGAGGGTGGTGAGTGTGACACCACAGGCAGTGCGGTAGGAGGGGACATGCTGGCACTGTGTCCCTTGCTCTGGCACTCAGACTAGGGCTGTCAAATGGACGGGCCAGGAAAGTGTAACTGCTTTTAACTCGCACACAGTGTGCTGCAAGGGAACAGCTTGCTCCTGCCAGGGAAGGAAAAGTTTCCTAACTTCTCTTTTTTAGTTTTCCCTTTTATTTTTTCCTCATTGAAGACTTTTTATTAAAGAGAATTTTTACAAAAATTTATTATACTCCCATCAGAGAGGGGCACAGACCACGTACTGACAGTGAAACACCTGCCCCAAAGGTTTCACAGCAAAGAAGGTGCCTATGGGGAAAAGAGGCTTCCCAGGATGAGGCACCTGCACAGCCTGGAGTTCTTGCTCCAACAGAAACTCCAACAGTGTTCAGCAAGCCAGGAGCACCAGCACAAGCCTCATCTAGGACACACACCTTTGTCTGGAAAACAGTCAGTTGGTTCAATTCCCACACATGCCACACCCAGCATCCCGAACACCCACTGGGAAGGAGCACCAGAGGCAGGGAAATTATGTGTAAGGCTCTTGCGCCACAGACTGGTGACCCAGTCCCTGCCCCACGGCTCCTCTGGGCTGTCATGCCCCAGGCTTCACACCTGCCTCAGCAGTCCTGTGCTCCCCCATCCCACTCCCCAACACTGGTAAAGACCTGGGAGCAAGAGGAAGCAGCAGAGAAATGTTACTACTGAAAAAAACGGTCTTGTTTCCTGCTCTTCATGAACCCACCGAGTCATGCAAGCGCCTGCCAGATGCAACCTCAGCACAGACCAACACATGTGACTGTGTCGGGAATGCTCAGCCCGGGCACAGCACCCGGGTGCTGCTTCAGCCCCAGAGCACCCAGGCATTCCCCAGAGCACCACTCTGCAAACCTGGAGAGCTGCAACACTGGGAGGGTCCAGCCTGGCAATCAGAAGGGTAGCAGGGAGCAAGGGTTTTTCCTCAGGTCTGGATGCTCCAGATGCCAGGTGCTCTGGAGCAGCCATCCAGCCCACAACAGGAGTGCTGTATTTCCTGTGGCACCAGGCAGCAGCAGCAGGAAGCAGCAGTGTGTCCCATGGAGTACCTGGCTCTGGAGCAGCAGTGGGGCTGGCTGGCAGAGCCAAAGGCAGCACATGCATCACTCCTGCCCAGCCTCCTCCCTCACAGCTGGGACACGTAATGGTGTCCTGAGCCGGCTCCGCCGCAGGCAGGGCGATCCGGCAGGCAGGGACCGGGAAGAGCGGCAGCAGGAGTTTACACAAGGAAAGCGTTAGAAGCTATTTGTCATCCATGACAGGCCCAAGGGGCAGCAGAGAAACCTGGGAGGCTCTGCCAAACACCATGGGCTGGCAGAGGGCAAGGAGAGTGGGCAGAGGGGGTGCAGGACTGGGTCAGGCATGGGTACCCTTCCCAAAAATGGCCCGCAGAGCATCCAAAATACCCGAGAGGTGACTTCAAGATAAACACAACGTGCTGACATCACCCTGCCTGATCGCTCCCTGTGGATTTTTTTCCCTTTCAAGCAGGCCCATCTGCTTTCTGCTTTGAAGAGCCAGGGAAATGCATTCATGGTGACTTGCCTGCCTTGTGTCTGGATTAAAGGTTGCGTAGCAGCAGGGAGCGAGCACTCTGCTCTCCCACAACCAACAAGGAAAAGCTGCAAAACTTGTCTCATCCACACGACAAACATTTAAAACCAAAGCAAAATCCCACTACACCATTTCCTTGTCATTGGAAACAGCAAAGGCAGGAACATCTACATTCAGTTCCCACTTCAAACCCGACTCCTCAGACACTTTCATGTGCTTTTTTGCCACCCACACACACGAGCAATTTCATCCTATTAGGAAAGCTGAGGGGGGTAGTGACAGCAATTTGTCCCTTACAGTAACAGTGCCAAGCCAGAAGCCAAAATCAAGATGTGACTTGCTGCTGACCCCAAGAGCTCTCCCCAGCTGAGCTGGGGCTGTGTGTAGATCAGGAAATCTTCCAGAAAAGTGAGCTTCACAGCAAAACTCATTGCCACTTCCCACCATGCATGTCAAATCCTCCATTTCCAAAGCACTACTTGTAATAACCCACCTCAACGTGACACAAGGGAGAGCCAGCGCTGCCAGATCCCCCTGCCCTGCCTGCAGGGAGTCCACAGACAAGCCCCTTCCCCAGGCCACCATGTCCACGCCAGCCTGACACCTCCAGTCACAGCATCAGTCCTCTTGTCCCTGTGCTACCCAGTGCTCCCACAGCTCCAAAGAATCCCCAGGTTCACCTTTCCAATGTTTCACAGCATAGCCCAGTGCCCACAGCCCAGCTTCTCCCCACACAGAGGCTGCTGGGCACAAACCCCACCAGACCCCCCCAGCTCCCACAACAGCCAGGCTGTGCTGCCCAGCTCCCCTTGCCCCTCCACAGAGCAGCACAGCTGAAGCCTTCAGGGCCCTCTGCACCCTCCCGGTGCCACAGAGCATCCCACACCCTTCCCAGCACCTCACATCGGGGGCTGTGCCCCTGCACTGCGCAGCACGCCCGGACACTCCCAGAGGAGCCCCGCAGCATTCCTGCAGGGCATCGCCAGCACGCCCCGGCACACCCCTGTCAGCCTCCAGCACCCTGTCAGCCTCCAGCACCCCTGTCAGCCTCCAGCACCCTGTCAGCCTCCAGCACCCTGTCAGCCTCCAGCACCCCTGTCAGCCTCCAGCACCCTGTCAGCCTCCAGCACCCCCAGCACCCTCAGGCACCTCCAGCACCCTGTCAGCCTCCAGCACCCCGTCAGCCTCCAGCACCCCTGTCAGCCTCCAGCACCCTGTCAGCCTCCAGCACCCCGTCAGCCTCCAGCACCCCTGTCAGCCTCCAGCACCCCTGTCAGCCCCCATCACCCCTGTCAGTCCCCAGCACCCTGTCAGCCTCCAGCACCCCTGTCAGCCTCCAGCACCCTGTCAGTCCCCAGCACCCTGTCAGCCTCCAGCACCCTGTCAGTCCCCAGCACCCTGTCAGTCCCCAGCACCCCTGTCAGCCCCCGGCACCCCAGGCCCGGAGCACCCGCCCATGCACGGGGCTGCCAGCGGGGCCCCGGAGCCCCGAGTCCCGTCAGCGCGCCCGGGCTGCCCGAGCACCCACGCGGGACGGCGGCACTGCCGGGACCCCGCGCATCCACCGCGCCTCCCTGGGCAGGCCGCGGGCTGGCAGGCGGCTGGCAGCCCCCCTGTCCTGTCCCTGTCCCGGTCCCTGTCCTGTCCCGGTCCCGGTCCCGGTCCCGGTCCCGCACCTCTCCGCCGCCCGTTCCGCCCGGCCCGGCCGGGCCCGCTCGCTCGGCCGCGCCGTCACGTGACCGCGGCTCAGCTGAGCGCCGCGCGTGCGCACGAGGAGCGCGGGGGGCGAGGGGCGGGGCCGGGCGGGGCCGCGCGCGGCGCCCCCTGGCGGCGGGCGGGGAGCGGGACAGGAACGGGAACGGGAACGGGAACGGGAACGGGAACGGGAACAGGAACGGGAACGGGAACGGGAACGGGACAGGAACGGGAGCGGGACAGGAACAGGAACGGGAACTGGAACGGGAGCGGGAGCGGGAACGGGAACGGGAGCGGGAACGGGACAGGAACGGGAACTGGAGCGGGCACGGGACAGGAACGGGAACGGGACAGGAATGGGAGCGGGACAGGAACGGGAGCAGGACAGGAACGGGAACGGGAACGGGAACTGGAACGGGAACTGGAGCGGGCACGGGACAGGAACGGGAACGGGAGCGGGAACGGGAACGGGAGCGGGAACGGGAACGGGACAGGAACGGGACAGGAACGGGAACGGGAGCGTGAACGGGACAGGAACGAGAGCGGGAACGGGAGCGTGAACGGGACAGGAACGGGAACGGGAGCGGGAACAGGAACTGGAGCGGGCACGAGAACAGGAACGGGAACGATAGCGAGCACGGGACAGGAATGGGAATGGGCACGGGAGCGAGAACGGGAGTGGGCATGGGAATAGGATGGGAGCGGGAACAGTAACGGGAACGGGAGAAGGAACGGGAACAGGCACAGGAGCGGGAACAGTAATGGGAACGAGAATGGGACGGGAACAGGAATGGTACGGGAACGGGACGGGAACGGGAGCAGGAACGGGACGGGAACGGGAAGAGGAGCGGGAGCGGAGCTGGGCAGCGGCCCGGAGCACGGGGCAGTGACGGAGCTGCCGGGCTGCGGCCTGGAGGAGGCTCGGGAGGGGTTTGTCAGCTCTGGAACTCTCTGGAAGGACGGTGAAGCCAGGTGGTGACGGGCTCTGCTCCCAGGCAACAGCAACATTACAGTTTGAACGGGTTAAGGTTTTAGCTGAGAGTTAGAACCGATTCATATTGAACTAGATACACCAACGGTAGGTTAATAATTATTAGATGCTTAGCTAAAGCTAATTGTTATATTATGAGCTTATTTGCAGAAGGAAGTGCAGCAAGAGAACCATTATAGGAACATATTGAACCCAGTAGAACAATGCCCAGCACCTGGACCCTGTGTCAATCCATCTCGGAGCAGGGATCATGCCAGAGGGTCACAGAGACCTGACAAAGACCTTCCTGACTTAATCCCTGGGACCACTGACCTAGTTCAAGAGAAGAATTGTGCATGCATGAAAGACTAATAACCCCATTTTAACACAAAGCAGAGATGGGAGGTGCTGGGGATGTGCACATGTATAATTTTGGGAAATAAATAAAGGCAAAAATCCTTGTGCGGTGCGGTCACACATTTCAGGGATGACCCCCCACCCCCCCATGCCACTCGCTGGCGTAATAAACATACCATTTTGTAAGTTTGACTAGTTAGAGAGTCTTTGTCCATGATTTTCAGTTTTAACAATTCAACATGATGAGGAAAAGGCGCTAAGCTGCACCAGGGAATGTTCAAGTTGGATGTTAGGAAGGCTTTCTTCACAGAGTGCCTGGGGAGATGGTGGAGTCACCATCCCCAGAGGTGTTTAAGGAAAGACTGGACGTGGCACTCAGCACCATGGTGGAGTGGACACGGTGGTGTGCAGTCACGGGTTGGACTCACAGAGAGAGGTCATGATCAACAGAGATCTTGTCCAAGCTAATTGCTTCTTTGCAGGGCTGCACCTTGGGGCAAGGCCTGCAGAGCCACGCAGGTGTCAGGGACATGGAAGGTCACCCCAGATGAGCAACACCCTCAAAGCCCCCCAGCATGAGCTGTGGACCCTGGGCCATGGCTGTGTCCCTGTGTCCCCACATCGCAAAGCAGCATTTGCAGATCCCTGCCCTGCCCCTCACACAGGAACTGGCCTCGGGGCTGCTCAGCTCCACTGGGCACAGCAACCTGCCCCGACCACACCACCTCCACTTCCCCCAGCTCACACCTACATCCACACTATTCCTAGCGAAATAAATGTCACCTCCAAGTCACCCTCAGCAACAAGAGGCACCAGCTCCACGTCCTGGTAAAAAGATTTATTAAGAACCTGCAGAACCTCCCAAAAGGAGGTTGCTGCCCTGGCACTGAAGGGGAGCAGGGACAGAGGGTTAGTGCTTCTCCAGGCAAAGCCACAGGGTGAAACAAAGCGAGTGGAGGGCACAGAAAGGCAGTGGGAGCACATCTGTGTGGTGCAGGAACACCCACAGCAGTTAAGGCGTATAAAGTGCTTGTAGAAGACCAGCCCTGTCAAGGGGCTAAATAGCACAAGCAGGCAGGGACAGCAAGGGATGTGGGTGGCTGGTGGCACCTGGCACAGGGGAGTGATGACCCTGCCCAAATCTGAAGCAAGAAGGACACTGCCTACCCACATGACAGTCCCCAGCCACAGCCAGGACACCCCCAAATAGGATCTAGGCTGCTGGTCTTCATGGTCATCTCCCAGTTATCCCGTGTTCAGGATGCTGCTGTGTTTGGGTGCCTCTGCCAGCACAGGGGAAGCATAGTCCCAGTGCAGCATCCTGCCTCAGCTCAGTCCCAGAGGAAAAATGAGATGAATATGACTGGTCCTCAGCCAGGCTGTGCCCCAGCAGTGCATCACAGCCTTGTGTCCCGCTCTGGAGCGAGCACAGACATCAGCTGGCAACCTCTTCTGCTGCTGGGAGCATCACCAGCCTCTTGGTCCCCTCTAGGTGGGAATGTCCATGTGAGGCTCGGGTGGTTTCCATCCTCTTGTGTTCCTGTTTGCCACAGGAGGGGCATGGGGAGGTGCCTTCACAGGTGCCTCATGCCACCAAGCTGGTTCCCCAGGCAGGACAGGGATGCAGCAACAGCAGATCCAAAGCTGCTGTGTGGGGACAGATCTCCTGCAGCCCCTTTGGGGACGCTTCTGCAAAACAGCCCTGTGCTCTGGCCAGAGATGGTGGGAAGCAGGGACACCCTCTGCAACTACTACTGCATCCCTCTACCCTGCCCCAGCACACCCAAACCTTCTCTCATCCCCACAGACTGCTCCAAGAAATACTGCTTTTCCCTGGAATGTTTTTGTCTAAAATGGCCCTTATAAGATTAAGAAAAAAAATAAAAAGAAAGAAACTGGATAAAAAATAAAAAATAGCAACCCCAGGTCATGCTGGGGTTAGGCTCCAAAGCCACACTGTCCAGGCAGGAGACACCCTGGTGATGGGTTTGGGGACAGCAGAAGAGCCAAAGGGGCCTCTCTGGGTGCATCAGGGGAGGAGGCGCTGGGGGGGACAGGGGCTGCCTCCTCCTGAAAGCAGGAGGGGTGGACCTCAGGGGGATGGGTTGGGGCAGGGGGCCAAGCTGGAGGGGATATGAGGGACAGTGTGCCACCCCTCAGTGGGAGTGCAGGGAGAAGGCCAGTTTGACACAGCTGAGCTCCTCCCCGCCGTTGCTGACCACCACCCGGACGCGGTAGTTCCCGTTGGTCATCCAGGAAGGGAGTTCCACATCAGGCACGTCAAAATCGCTGGCTGGCAGGGAGTAGGAGCCCTGTGGAGAGAGGGGACAGGCAGGCAGGAGATCAGCCCAAAGGCCAGCCCAGCACCAAGGGGCACAGTGGCGCTGCCAGGGTCACCGTGGGCACGGCCATACCGCTTTGAAGGGGCAGTGGCAGGGGATGCCGTAGGTCAGCAGGGGCTCCGGGCAGGGCGTGCCGGGCGGGATCAGCTCGTCGAGGATGCTGCAGACGTCGTTGTAGGTGCAGCTGCCCAGCTGGTCGATGCAGGGCAGCTGGATCCAGAGGTCACCCAGTGCCTTCTCCACCACCAGCGCTGCCTGGAGGGAAGGTGTTCAGCACCAGCACAACCAGCAGGGGCACCCACAGCTCCTCACCGGCCAACTCCCTCAGCTCCTGGTCAGCAATCTTTGGGATGTCCATGAGGTCACTAAACCCCCTCCTGCTTTCAGTTCCTCTCCACCTGCAGCTTCTGTTCCTCCAACCTCAGCTTGACCCCTTAAGCTAACACCACCCAACACCTCACATCCCCACCTCCTTCCCCTCTCCTCTGCCTGTCCCAAAACTCCCAGGGTGCTTCCATCCTGCAGCTCTGGCTCCTCCCTCCCCCAGCACTCGCCCCAGAGTCCCAGGCCCAAACAGACACCATAGCATTGCTCTAGATAGCCCATGCACACTGGACAAGAGACATGTTCTGTCTCATCACAAACAACTTCACAAAAAGTGTTATCAGGGCAGCTGGCATGGCCCAAGGCTCCCAGAGCAGGGCCGTGGCATGTCCTTGGAGGGAGCAGCTGGGTTGGCTGCTGAAAAACAAGTTCTGCAGTGACGTCCAGAAGCACCCACAGCACTTGGATTTCACTTCCCTCCTGGAGCCAATACATCCCCAAGACATGAAATGACTCAGGTGGTTTCTGTCCTAGGAACAAGGCTGGGAGGCTCCCACTGAACTGTCTGCTCCCACCACAGGTCTCCCCATGCCCACTGTCCTGGTCTGGCTTATAGAGCCCAGTGTGCTCAGCCCTGCACCTCACTCCCCAAGGGCTGCTCATTCCTGTACCCAGGGACAGGCATTTTCCATCTGCAAGTGGTTTGGGGAAGCTCTGCCCTCCCTCACCACACAGAGGGACATCTGGCACTTACCTTCAGAGGGGAACTCATGGTCTTGCCACTCTTGACAGCTGCGCTGACACGCAGGCTCCCTGGGATGCTGATGGGGTCGGGGGCCACAGAGAGGCTCTGCACCACCACGGGGTCACTCTTGTCACCACAGTTCTCCCAGGCAAAGCCACCAACCTGCAGCACCGAGGGACAGGAGGAGTTAGAGGCAGGAGAAGCCCTGTCTTGTGTTTGCAAGAGGTTTATCCAGAGCTGCACCTCTGACCTCTGCCAAACATCTGCTCACAAAGAGCCAGAAAACGACCTTCAGCCCCTTCAAATGCCAGTTCTTGACCTCCCAGCTTCC